GCAGTCTGTTTTCAAAGTCAGTGCCATGTCATCAGAGGTGTAGCAATGGGGCAGGCAAATGCCGGGGCCCCCGATGGCCGACCATTTAAACCAACAGGAATGTTAATATTAGTATTAATAGCTATAACACGCAGCGACATCTCTCCACCCCTCCTATGGGGCCCCCTCTCTCGATACACTGGTTACGCCTTTTTCAAACAGGTGCAGTGCGTCCTCGCGGTGCTGTAGATTAGAAAATGCATGATCTGGAGCGGAGCAGAACGCGGGACCAGAGCATTTTTAATCCATTTCATATGGAAGTTGAGCTTCCGCAACTTAGGAATGAACTGAAAAAGTTTGCGCACACACACATAAACACGCACGTTAAACATAAAGAAGAGGACAAATCTGTCCGGCAGCCTGAAGCGAGGAAAAGAGGAAACAGAACAACAGTAAGCATAGGCACCAATTTATGTTTCTGCCCACACTCTATTCCACTCCAAACCAAATACAAAACATTTTATTCATCAGTTTCCATGAGCAAATAAGATTGTCATGCAACAACTGTGCCTTGAATATTTTAACATTCCCATTTTTTACAGCCTAATTAATTAAAAATGAGAAATATATTTTTCTCCATTCGATATTGTGCTTGAATTCATTAGGCTACACAAAAGATATTATTCGTGTCTCGCGAAGAGAAACGCACAGACTACAAATACACAACTAAACAAAACATTATTTTCATGAACTTCGCCGCAACTCGTTCACTTGCTGATATACATAAAATAATTCAATAAATACCTATTTAGAATAGGCACTTAATTCAAATAACTATTAAGCTAAATAATAAAATAAATAACGAGTATTCACTGACCAAATATAATAGAATATTTAGAACAGGCACTTAATTCAAATAACTTTTAGGCTAAATAAAATAAATAACGAGAATTCACTGACCAATATCACCTTGAAAATGCTAACAAAGAGTGATCCGTAATTTTTGTACAATTGAAAGGTACTCTGTTATTTCATCAGTCAGTCATGGAAGCCTGGTGGTTGATGGGCTTCTGGCAACATTAATTCCAGGAGAGAAGACAATTATATAGATTTGAGTGCACAGGTTTGAGCGTGCACATCTGAGTAAGAGAGAGCGCGCATCCTGTTTTGTGCATTATATACTGTTAGATGAGCTCCAAACCAAATACAAAACATTTTATTCATCAGTTTCCATGAGCAAATAAGATTGTCATGCAACAACTGTGCCTTGAATATTTTAACATTCCCATTTTTTACAGCCTAATTAATTAAAAATGAGAAATATATTTTTCTCCATTCGATATTGTGCTTGAATTCATTAGGCTACACACAATATATTATTCGTGTCTCGCGAAGAGATACGCACAGACTACAAATACACAACTAAACAAAACATTATTTTCATGAGCTTTGCCGCAACTCGTTCACTTGCTGATATACATAAAATAATTCAATAAATACCTATAATAGAATATTTAGAACAGGCACTTAATTCAAATAACTTTTAGGCTAAATAAAATAAATAACGAGAATTCACTGACCAATATCACCTTGAAAATGCTAACAAAGAGTGATCCGTAATTTTTGTACAATTGAAAGGTACTCTGTTATTTCATCAGTCAGTCATGGAAGCCTGGTGGTTGATGGGCTTCTGGCAACATTAATTCCAGGAGAGAAGACAATTATATAGATGTGAGTGCACAGGTTTGAGCGTGCACTTCTGAGTAAGAGAGAGCGTGCATACTGTGCATTATATACTGTTAGATGTGTTTTGTCCACATTTCATATGTTGCATAATTATATCACTAGATAACAAAGATACATTAACAAAAAAAAATCTTTTAGAAGGGCCTCACTGATTCATTTTGCCTGGGGCCCCCACTTCATGTACAGTCCTGATCACTGCAGCCAGATGGCGTATAAGCTAAGTGTCACATGCAGCGCAGGAAATAATGGATGTTTCATTCTATTTTTCCAAGAAAATGGCATTAGTCATGGCCTTTTTAGCGTTTATACTCTTAATATTCTTGATTTTTTTTTTTTTTTTTAA